CTTACAGAAACAGGCAGCAAGCAGGATTTGACCTCCAGACCACAGTTTGCTGATCCCTGACTAGAGTACAGACACTGGGCTGATATAGTACGCAGAAGCAGTTGTTCACCATCTCACCCAAAGCTTTTTATTTTTTAACACCCTTATTGTGGTACGATTCCTGTAAATTATGCATATTTCAATTTTATGAAGTTGATGCACAATTTTATGAATTTTGATAGATGTATACACCAATGAGACCACCACCACAATCAAGAGAGCTATCATTTCCATCACTCCCCAAGGTCACCAAAAGCTTTTGAAAGCAGATGAAAAAGAACTATATAAAGAATCAGAACGCACAGGGGTCTAGCCCAGGCCTGGCCACTCGCTGTAGCTATATAATCCTAGACAATTGCTAAGCCTTCCTGAATCGCCATTTCCTCAGTTTTTAAAAGGACAGAAGAATATCTGTCCTTGCCCAGATTTAAGAGCAAAAAGGACATGTGCATGCCAATGTTTTGAAAGGTAAAGTGTTATAGCTGTTAGTTTCTTTTGTGATTGCTTATTTAATGATTCAGGATAAACTAAGAATCTTGAAGAAGTTGCCTACTCCTCCCAGATAAGTGGAGGGTAAATTCAGTTTTTGTGCAAGACTAGTCACATGCTCACAAGCCTCTTAAAAACATGTCAAATGTGCATCTTGGTTAGTTCTGGACAGGCATCATTTTCATTAGGATTTCACTTAGAATAAGACAAACCAATTCCCAAATCAGCATATATTAAACAATAAAGCAGATTGTTCATCGGGATTTGGGGAATTTAAAGGAAAAAAGAAGCTTGACAATCCTTGGAAAAGAGCATTTCCAACTGCAGTGCAATCGTGTTCTCAACAGACTCCCAAGACACTGCTAACCCATCGGCGAGGCGCAGTCATGGACCTCTCCTTTCCCCCTGATCACATCTGTTACATTACTACTTACGTGACTAGGGAACAGCTTAATTTACTAGTGTACAGATGACTAAATTCTGCTTTCAAATGCCTGAAATTTAGGAAGCAATAGCTCTAAAATGTCTCAAGTCCAAGGATTGCATGGCTTTGCAACATTCTAATCATTTGTAAAGCCTTCTCCACAAGCACACATAGTAGAGACGCATTGAATACCATCAGTTGCCCGGTCCTTAGGACCTAAAAAGAAGCCATGGTCTTTTTCTTCTTTAGAGCCTATGGAACAATTAAAAAGTGAGAAGATAAGGAGGCTATTGTGCTGGGCTGTGCCTGCCAGCTGTGCTGGTGGGTGCTGAACCACAGGGCTCAGTCATTCCCAGGCCACCCTGGGAATACTTGGTCTTCCTTTCACAAGACGACGCAGAGTTGAACTTGACTCAGAGAAGCACATTACCTGCCCTGATATACACCTGATGACCCTGCTGCTGCTGCTTCTTTTTAATCCGGGAATATTGCCGCTTCAGCGCATTGATATCCGTGGTCATGCGTTCCATCATCATACTGTTAAAAGCTGCATGGTATTCACTTCGGCAGGAATTGATCGCTCCTGGACTCAGCTCCGCAATGTTATTGGACCTCAGACTCTGGTCCCCATTTGGTTCTGTATTCCAGGGCAGAGAGATACAGAGACAGTGTCACTGGAGGAGAACAGAACTAACTGGGAATCGATCACACTGTATAACCTTGTGTTGCATCTTAACCTCCAGGAAATTCTGAGCCACAAAAAAAAAATGTACACTAGAATTTGCCTAATCCTTGTTTTTATTTGGTCCTGAAAACATTCCTGCATTTTTGTATTAGCCTGTGAGTCTGAACCGAGCTGTCTGGCTTCACTGTTTGATTTTATTACCACTTTGTGTGTTACATGGACATAAAATCAGCCGTTTCCAGATAAAAATCACTGCCATTTTCTAAAATGCCCTTAGAAAAATGTTAACTCCAGAGGTTTAAAGTCAGGGTACAGATTTCCATATGACTGCATGAGGATTTACAAGGGATTAATAGTTTGTAGAGTTTCGTCTGTCATTATAAGCGAGTTTTTAAGTTAAAAATAGCACGACATTCTGTAAGATTATCGAGACTTTAGATCACGGTGTCAATAGAAATGAATGTGTTTATTCATTTAACAAGCATTCCTGACTATCCACCATGTGTGTCATATCTGATGTGGTTTCTGCTCCTGTGACACCCACAACTAGATTTGTCCCTTAAGTAAAACTGAGATTACATCCAAGAAACAGGAATAAGTACTGTGTGAGAGAACATTCATTCACATGCCGCACAGGTAAAAGGGAAATAAAACACGGCTTTTCTAACATAATGTGTAAAACTGGCCTGGGGACAAGCTTTAAAAACAAAAAAGATTAATGAGGGATTTCAAGTATCCTAACATCTGCTGAAAGTGTTATTCAGACAAAGACTGAATACCTGATACACTTTCTTTTTCTTAACTAAAAATACTTCTCTAAAGAGAGGAAAATTAAAAGGAGACTAGCTAATGTGAACTAAAGTAAAAACAACAAAGAAAGATAATGACAAAACGTTGGAGAAAGTGATTATGTCATCCTAGAGCACAGACCTGCCCAGGAAGAACCGGGGGAAGTGGAACACAGACGCAGACTACAGAAAGGCAGCTGCAGAAATGTGAAGAGTTAAAAATACACACTGATCCCATGGCTAGAAACCGAAAGCTGAAATTTAGGCAACAAAAGAGGAAGCGGAAGGCATTATAAAATCAACAGGACTCTTGCTGAGTTCAGACTTTTAAAAGCCACTTTAAAAGATGACAGGGGAGTGCATACCAAGGACATACACTCAAAGGCACAAACCGAACCACTAAGCAGGTTCAAACTCAAAACCAGCTGAGGCTTGGAGAACACACTCAAAACTACCACAACCAAAACAACAACAAAACGAACAAACGGGAGAACAAAAAATAAGTCTTCTAAGCAAGAAGAACAAAACCGAGAAAACAGCCCGATGACACTGAGAAGGAAGTGTAAAGCCAGCAGATGGCAAAGAGACTACAGAGGTGCCTGACATCTTTTATTTCTGCCCTTTTCAGCAAAGAGAATGGGCTTCCAAGTAGAAGAGGTAGAATAAATGTCCTAAAGGAAGAGCTGCCACCCAAGACAGGAAAGAACACTCGTGGGAGAACCACGAAGTGCTTCAAGAGTTCGCTACATGGATAATGTACAGACCATGTAAGGGAAAAAAACAAATACAGCATGGCATTCAATTCAGAGGACTGCATTTTAAGAGGGACACTACCAAACTGCAGGACATTTAAGGGAGAATTTACAGAATGTTAAACTTTTTGGAGGTATATATTTAAGAAATTCTGAAAGCTTCGGGGGACATGACAGCTGTCCTCCAGATTTAAAGAGACATCCTGCAGAAGAGGGAGTAGACTGACTTGCTCTGCTTTGTTCTGAAGAGAACTATTAACAGAACTGGCAGGACGAGCTTATCTCTTCAAAACTAGAAACCACGTGCTAAAGAGAGGAATCTAGTAGAATGTCTTCTGAGATAGTAAGTTTCTGGTCACTGAAAATTCAAGTAGAGGCTACCATAATGTTTTAGCTTTAAAGGGTATTTCTATAATGGAAAAGAAGTCAGTGTATAATGAATTCAATTAAATTCAAATAGAATGTTGTAAACACATGCCAGGCTCCGTGCTAAGGACCTGAGCGTACAAAGCTGAATCAGATGAGTGCGAGGCAAAACTGATCAAAAAGAAAAAGAAATATGTATTATGTATGCAACACATAACAGACAGATCCTGCTGAGTGATTAAGTAACAGAGAAGATGCTTTTAATGAAGACCTTTAACAGTGGCAATCAGCTCAGGAAACAATAGGTATTTATAGGACACAATAATTCCCTTGCTCTAGTGAGCCAACACATTGTGATCATCTGAATAGATGCCACCTCTTTACCTTTAACTTGCTTTTGGTATTTCTGCAGTTCAGGAGCCAGGAGCCCACTGAAAGGTCCGAGACACCCCACCACATTAGCAATAGCATCTTCATCATCTGGGTCATTCTCTTCATCACTGTCTCTGACCTTACTGTGTCGTCTTGGAAGACATAAAAGAAGAAAAAGGAATATTCAAAGAAAATAGTGGTATTGTTTTAAAATAAATAACACAGTCACATAATGTAAATGACAAATATATATCATTTAAATGTATATAAAGTCCATCTCCCATTCCTGTCCAAATTGTGCCCTGTCCTTGCCCCACCTAATTTCCACAGGTGGTCATTGTTACTAGTTTCTGATGAATTCTTCAGCTTCTTTATCAGTTAAATAAGTAAATATGACTATAAAGCCTTTTTCTCCTCCTCCTCTTCATCAGTATTAGCATATTGTATGTGAGTACTCTCCTGCACCTTGCTTTTATTCACCTAAAATAAAAATCCATATTCACACACAAAGCTTCTTCCTCTCCTTTTATTTTTTTTTTAACGGCTGCACTGCATTGTATGTTTAATTACTGTATCTATGTATGTATGCACGTAGCCCATGTTGTGGAACCAGGCTGCTAATGATGCACACCTGAGTGATTTTCAATACGCTACTACTACAAACAATGCTGCAATAAATAACCTTATACATACTGTGTTTTGTGTGTGTACAAGTACATTTGTGGGATAATTCAGAAAGGTAGAATTGCTGGGTCAAAGGATATATGCATTAGTAATTGGGGAAGTACTGTCAAATAGCCTGCCCCAGATCCTGGGGTAATGAACCTCTCACCAGCAGAGTGTAGGAGTGTCTGTTCCCCGATAGCCTTAACAGAGTGCACAACAACTTTTGAATTTTTGTCAGTCTGATGGGTGAAGAAAACAGAAGCTCAATCTCGCTTTAAGCTGCATTTCTCTTAGTCCAAGTGATGTTGCCTTTTATGTGAACTACCAATTCTCATCTTTCATAATTTTTCAGTTGGGTGGTCATTTTCTTATTGATTTCTAAGAACTTTATATACGACAGGTATCAGTTACAAATATTTTTCCACAAGTATTTTGGGGTCTGCTTATGAAGGTTTTCTTTTGTTCTGTTTTGGTTTTAGTCACGCAGAAAATTATTTTCAAAGTAACTAATTTTTTTCCTTTATTGTCTTTTTTTTTTTGAGTCAGTTATTAAGGCCTTCCCAATTCCAAAGAACTGAAGATAAGCCTTCTACATTTTCTTCTGCTAATTTTATTATTTCATTTTTTTCTATTTAATTCTTTCACCTATATGGAATTTCTCCTAATGTACGGTGTAAAGTATGACTCTAATTTTCTTTCTTTCCAGATTGGGTTTCACTGGCACAGAACCATTTACTAAGTAGTGTATCTTTTCACTGTTGATTTGATATGCTACACTTTCATATTCTAAATTCCTGTGTATATATATTTGTCAATTTCTGGTCGGCACAGTATTTTAAATTAGCTCATCTGTCTCTTCAGGCACCAGTTCTACACTTTTTACTGAGATTTTTAATATTTGATATTTTTTAATAAGTTGTAGGGTTGCTAAATATCCCTTCAGTTTATGTTCTAATCTCCTCTGGAAAGTACACTTTTAAAAACCTCCCTCTAGAATTTAAATCAAAACCTCTGAGCAAGAGATACTGAGATTTTAAGTTCCAAACTACTTGGAATGTATTTCTGGGGTTTAACAAATAGTAAGCTACAATAACAAATGAAGGTATTAAGTCTTCCATCATGAAAAAAACAAGGGGGAGAAAAAAAAGACCTTACCCAGAAACTGAGGTGGGTTTGACTGTGGCTGGGAATGGTGTAATGTTGTAAGTGTATTTTTCCCTCAATTCTGCCAATTGTGGAAAAGGGAATGGAGCCATAGAATAAACAGTCTGAAAAACAAGAATACAATTGCCAAGTCTGAAACAGTGGCCTTAAACAAGTCTCATCAATCCTGTAAAGACATTAAAGTTTTATGATTTGGATGTGAAGAGGAAGATACTGCTTCTTACACAGCAGGTGGAGAGATAACACTTCAGTATCATTTTAGAGAAAGACGAAAGAATACAGATAAAACAACAGTGAGCTCTCAAATCAACCCAGCTGCGTCTAGGGCCCTCCAATTGGTGACCATGGTGGGCAAGTGGGGGCGGTCTGACTTCCTCCTGCTCATTCGACAGATGGGTTAATTCAGAAATTCACAGCTCCCTATTACTTCTCTCACAAAGAACCCATCAGTGCTCTTCATATGTACCACTTATTTTTCAAAGCTTTGCTTGATGATTTTTATAGACATTAAATGTCAGCCTTCCGGATAAAATTAAGTCAAATTAAGTCTAGGGGACAATCTTGTGATCACCCGCAAGCTTTCTCCAAAGATACCACCTTTTCAAATGTCTGTGAATCAGTTCTGGGTGAAAATTGTTAACTGTTATTTTTAAAGAAAAAAAAAGAAAAGAAAAGTGACAGGGTGTTAACAGCACAGGCTGTTAAAAATCTATTAATAAAAATGGGAAAAGCACCTGTGCTTCCTCCAGAATTGCAAGATCATATATCATTCCACCAGCAGGAGGGAAAGCATCTTGTTTGTTCTCTTAACTTTATGAAAATTCAATTGCTCCAAACACATTTCTTCAATCTTTCAGGTTCTTATTCACCAGAAAATGTCTATTAATCACACTAACTCTCTTTCAGTTCTTCCAGGAAGCTGTTCAAATGTCCTGATGACACTTTTCTGGGAAAGTATTTTAAAGTGGTATTTTTCATTTCAGCAGGACCGTTTTTCTGAAGGCTTAGGAGATGTCCAATATTTGCACGGGTAGGAAAAGGAGGGCTCTGAAAGGGGCTTCCTGGCACTGCAGTCTCGCTGCACAGCTCACAGCCACCAGGACAGTCCACTGCAATTCTGATTCTAAACAGCTTGCACATCAGTCCCCAAACTTCATGGTATCCACTAATATCTTAGTGTAATATCCCAGGATTATAAACAAGGAACTGTTGGCTAAAATTCCTTCCCTTCAATTCTCCATTGCTTATTATGCAAAGTTACACAGCTTATGGGGACCACAAAAGTCATTTCATCTCATACATACTTGATTATAGACAGTCTCCAAGTTACAATGGTTCAACTTAAACGATTTTTCGACTTTATGATGGTGCGAAAGCGATACGCATTGAGGAGAAACCATTCTTCAGATTCTGAACTTGGATCTTTCCCTGGGCTATGACATCCCGTAGGTCCTCTCTCATGACCCTGGACAGGGGCAGCAGCCGCAGCTCCCAGGCAGCCACGTGAGCACCAAGGTAAGTAACGCATACATTTACAAACATCCTGTACCCAGACAACCGTTCTGTTTTTCATTTGCAGTATTCAGTAAACTACATGAGATCGTTACAAAATAGGCTGTGTGTTAGATGGGTCTGCCCAACTGTAGGCTAACGTAAGTGTCCTGAGCATGTTTAAGGCAGGTGAGGCTGAGCTGTGATGTTTGGTAGGTTGGGTGTATTAAATGCATTTTTCAACTTACGATGGGTTTATCGGGATGTTACCCCATTGTAAGCCCAGGAAGATCTGTGTACCCAAAAGGCTGAGGAGCAGTACAAACTTACTAACAGTGAACTGTTATCTTAAGTAACCTATAATGAAAAAGCATATGAAAACAAATATATGTATGTATGACTGAAACTTTAAGCTGTACACCAGAAACCGACACATTGTAATTCATTGTAACTTCAATAAAATAAATAAATAAAATAAAATGGGGGGAAAAACATTAAAAAAAAGAAAAGAAAGAAAGGGAAGTACATCTTGCCCTAGCGTAAATGGTCTGGGCTCTCACTAAGCTTCTTCAAGGGCCACTCAGCTAAAGACATTGGACCAAAAAGAACACTGGCTCCACTGAGCTTTTGTTTTCTACTTCTGATCTTCCCTTCCCCATCATTTACTCTTGGTTAGTCCTTCAGCGAATAAATCAGTGTTCCTGAAACAAACGTGCTTATAGTACTTCACATATATTCACTCCCTTGTTTAAAGGTCTCACATGTCGCCAGGCACGTTCACCCCATGAAGGTGAACACCACCACATCACCACAGTCCTCAGGGTACCTGAGAAGCTCTCTGTTTCCAACTGTGAATCGGAGATTTACAACAGATTCCAAGAAAGCAATTTTACTCATCACCTTAGAGCCCAAGTATAGTACACAAATAGAATCTTAGGGTTAGAAAGGAATTTAACCATGATTTAGTTCAACCTCCCTCCCTCCCAAGCAGGAGTTCCCCCTAGAGCATCTCCTACAGATGGTCATAAAGGTACTGCTTAGACACATCCAGTTGCAGGTGAACACAATTTTGCAAGGCAGACAGTTTTCACCCTTGACAGCACTAATTAATCCAACAGTATCCTTCTATTGCCCAAGCATCCACATTCATGTAATTTCCACTCCATCACTGATAGGAAAAAGGGAACACTTCCCGGCATGGGACCACTTTGGATTGGGTTTTTCCAAGCACCTAAAACCCATCTAGCAATTGCATCTAACTCGCTTTTCTCTACGTTGCTCTCAAAGAATTCATGAGAGACTTTGTCAAAAGACTTACTGAAATCCATATACACTATTTCATTGGCATCCTCCCAATCTTTTTTACTCACACTATCATTTTTTTAAAAATGGCCACTGCTAATAAAAGACTGTATGATTTATAGGGAGAAAAAAATCCTGTGGATTATTTTGCATATGGCACCTAGAACTGAAAGAAATGGGGAAGACCAAACAGGGAGAATCCTTTCAGCTCAAAACTAAAGACCTTACATGCAGCCCACGTTTTTCATTTGGAAGTATTTCAGGTTTACTGACAGATTTAAGGTCTACTGTGATTGGATCAGAGCCATTGAATTAATTTGTTTAAAGAGTGAATACAGAAAACAGAGTGGCTCGAAATGACATTCAGCATCTCTCTCCTTAATACTCAACAATGTCAAGGAAAACCAACAAGTCTATTTACTACCCAAGCTACCAACACACACTTAAATAGACACTTACACTTAGGCAGTGCTGGAAAGGAATTACATTTCTCTTTTTCATTATTGACATGCTTTACAAGAAACATGAAAACAGAAATTGTACCAAATTAGGCTCAGTTCATCTTCACCAGATGTTTTCCTCGGCAGGAGAAAAGCTTCTAGAATGGAATCTAATCAGTCGAGCCACAGCCTAGATGTTTCCTTCTAGGGTTCTCTGAAAGCAGAGTAAAGGAGGGGTTCTCTTTTCTCCTCATCCCAAAGATAGGACATTCCTAGAGGACAAAGATGGCGTATCTCAACATACCTATCATTCGTTCTGGCCGTGTTTAAAGTTTAGCCGAGATAAAATGCTGCTCATTCTTCTAAAGGGGATTTCAGCTTTTAGAAGGACATGTTTTGAGTTAGGTGGAAGCCCTGTTTTGGGTGGTGAGGACAAGCACGAGGCCAGGGCTCGAGCCTGCGTCCCAGTTCTGGGTCTGCCACCAGTCAACCTAAGAATCTGGCAAGATGCTCACTCTCCTCGTCTTAGTTTCCCCTCTGTAAAGTGACAGAGTCAGGTGAGTGCGTCTTTAAGCTTCTTTCAAACCAGCATTTCTCTAAGTGGTATCTCAAAGCCACTTGCATCAGAACCACCCGTGGGCCAAATATCTGTCCTTTAATAGGCATTCCCCTCCAAGAGAGAGAACGAGGGATGAAGCAACAGCCCAGGATCTGTGAGAGGAGCTGGAATCCGAGCACAGAAGTCAGGGTCAGATAGAGCACTCCCTCCTCTGAGCCAGACAGGAAGGACGGAAGAAGAGATGAGAAGGCAAAGAACAGTTGGAAGCCAGAGGAGGTGGCTGGTCTTCACAAAGAATTGGGCAGCTGTCTGCTAAGAGCCAAGGATTCCGAGCAGGAGCTGCAGGTGCCAGGAAATGAACAAAGGAGTGGAACCTCTTCACGGCTCAAGCCCTAAATCAGGGCCTGAATCTTTGTTTTCTGATCTGTTGACTGGGCCCCAGCACCGAAAAATGACCTCAGGCACGGAACCCAACATGAAAGCTGCAACCAAGAAAAAGGAGAGAGAAGCCACGGAGAAGGAGGGAACTCGGGCCCAAGGTCAGCCTTGGACAAGACCCACTGTTGGCCAGTGGGCGGGAGGAAGGAAGAGCCAGGAAGAGAAGCAGCAGTTGGAAGCATGGAGGGGTGTGGGGAGACTGAGACAAAAATCATGATATAGAACCTAACAGAAGAGAGACTCGTAACAAAGCTGCTATCTCTTCCATACTCACTGCCAGTGTTAATGACTTGGCAAATACCACGTTGAGCTACAGTAACATGCCACAAAATAACCACACACTTCACGTCTTCTATTTTGGAATTTATGATTCATATGTAATAACATGAGTTGAAGATGTGGGCAAAACAAATAAACCAAAATGCTGATTTGGAACATCTCCTTTTTATCCTCAATAATCCCTTCCCAGAAATAATCATTTCACGTCACACATCCCCGAATCAGATTCAGAATAAGTACCTGGTGATTTGGCGGTGAGTGGAGAAGTGTTCTGGCGCTTTTTTTTGTTTGGTTTGGTTTGGTTTGGTTTGGGATTGTACTTTATGATTTTTAAGCAACACAGTTGGAATGAAAGCCGTAACGCATACCCATTATTCATTTCTTTCTTCCTCTTGTGACATTGTTAGATTCTTATCAGATTATACATAGAATGTTGGCCACTTGAAAAAATAAATCTGAGGCCTGGCTTGGCAAATATCTTTCCCAAGACCGCTGCCCTGGCACTGCTGGTTCCCATGGCACCAAGTCCCCTGAGCCAAGGCGGGGTGCATTGCCCGCTCACCTGCATGAGTTCATGGCTTTCCAGAAGGTCATTCTCCAGCATCTCCTGGGTCAGGCGGCCCATGGTGCTATAGAATTCATCTGCTGTTTCACAACATTCTATCTGCCTAGATCAAGAAAGGACAGAAAGAGGAATTGTTTAGGACACCCATGCTGTGTCAGGCACATGCTGCAGGCACAACACGATGTGTTGTCTCTTGCCATCAAAGCGATCAAGTCTGTAACCCACAGAAATCAAAATCCTAGCATCCACTCACAGTACAGCCTGTTGTAGGCAGAGAAGAGATTTAAAAAATATGAAGGGCAACATACAGGTGCCTATTACAGAGTGAGTTCCCATCTTTACCATACTGCCCCCCGCAGACTCACAGCACCACCTGTGGCATCTTTCTTGTTTCCACGTGACACATTCTACACATCAGAACACCCATCACTGATGAAAATAATAACCAGGAAATTGGGTACCCAAGAACAATAATCCCCTGGAGAATCTGTTACTCTTGATCTGCAAACTGTGGTATCACTGAGAGACTGAAACCAAACCACAGCAGAAGTGAAAGAGGAAAAATACAAGAACTGTATCTGCTTGTCTCATCAGTCCACGGGATATTTCACAGGTAGTTTTTTCAGCCCTTCTTAGGGCACTGCTGCTAGTTGGAGATTACACCCTGTTTCTTGCAATTTGATTCGACGTATAAATAAAGAACCTGTCACCCACCACTCTGTGAGACAGGTGAGACTTTAATCCTCCTTCTAGAGGGTGGCAAAAAAGGAATAATTCAAAGCAAAGAGCACTGTGTATTTGTTGTATCTATTGTGACTTTTTTTGTATAGAAGGGTGACTGTCCACCAGTCACGAGACACAATTTCTGGGACACGCTAATGTTGGGGGATTTGCATAGGGCCATTCAGAAACATATGATGATGGGGAAACTTCAGGCTCTGGAGTGCTGTTCAAATTCCACTGCCACAATCATGCAAATAAATAAATGACATCAACTGCTTAAGTATTACTGCAGAAATATGGAGTAGCACGTGGGCATAAACGAAAAAGTGGTTAAGTTTAATCCTGGGGGGCAGGGAGTGGGTGAAGAAGAGAAATAATGCTTGAGGTGAGTTTTTAAATATTCTCCAGGTTGACCAGGAAGAAGAGCATTCCAAAGACATGGATGCAGGAGACAGCAGGCCCTCCCCAGGGAAGTGGATGTAGGTCCACACGACCAGAGCAGGGGGGCTGCGCGGCCGAGGAGCTGGGGAGAGCTGAAGGGGTGCAGAGAGCAGGTCACAAAGGCCTTGCCTGCCAGCTGAGCGCCCTCAGGACAAGAGTTGCTGGAAGGCCTTTGACAGGGAGCGTGGGGACGGACGTGCGCTCGGCAAGGTCGCCCAGGAGGTGGCATGGCCAGCGTGGGATACCATGGGGAGGCCAGTGCCAGGTATGAGGGAGGGAGCCGAGGCAGTCAGGTCAGAGTAGAAAGGACATGTGAAAGAGATGCCAGAGCAGCTGAGCTGAGGGTCTCCGGCTGACATTTCCAAGAGCACCCTTGGTCTGAGCAAAAGGAAGAAACTCCACGTTGCAGAAGCAAGATGAAGGGAGAGGTCCCGTGATGAACCATACACAAGACACGTACATTCCTCAGGTGCTTATAACCTGGAGATCACCTGTATGCGGTTTATGGTTTTTCCAGTGGAAAGTTTGTAGGGAAGATTAGAGACGTGGAGTCAGAAAGATCCAGGATTGGGTCCCAGCTCTGTTCCTCATGAGCTGTGGGACCTTGAACTAGTCAGTTAGCTTTCCTGCAGTAGTCTTTTCACTTGAAGAGACAGGGAGAATAATCCTACCTACTTCCAGGGCTGGGGGAGAATCGAATGGGATGTGTTTAAACTTCCTAACATGATAACGGCACTGCGGGCACATGAGGTTGTATGTTGGCTGCCTGGCCTCCCACTTAAGAAGCTGCATACTCAAAACAGGTAGAATTATAATGAGCAAGGACTCAGACACAGTTAAAATTCTACCAGCCTGATTCATACATAGATCCCCTGAACTTCATAAACAGTAGGCATTTATAATCAGTAGATGCATATTTTTAAAAGCACAGATTATAGAGCCAGGGTTCCTGGGTTCAAACTCAGGCCTTTCCACTTACTAACTGGGTGATTTGGGGCTTAACTTACCTCTCTGTGCCTCAGTGCCAGCCTCTGTAAAATGGGGATGATAACTGAACCTACCTCATAGGATGTCAGTAAGGACTAAATGAGTTAATTTTACATCTAGAGGGCTTGGAACAATGCCTATCCATTTCAAACACTCAATGAATATTGGATTGGAAATACATGTCTGGAGAAGGAGGCAGCTATTGGAAGAAAGTAAACAGATAGTAAATTAGCACAACAAATCCCCCACAGATGAAGGTATTTGCCTAACTGAAAAGCAATGTACAATAAAACAAAGGCAAAAGAGGCAGATAGCTATGTGATATTTTAAAATATTTCCACACAACGATTTTTTTAAATCCATGAATTGACAGTTGATGGATTTTCTTACAAAAAGTAAAAAATGCTGCAAGTCTTCCAGGAAACAACTTATCATAAATAAAAAGGCTACTTAAAAGGTTTTTGAAACAAAACTCTCTCAGTGATTAACAAGTTTTCTGACATGTTGCTTTTGGGTTCCCACTTAAGTCATTTATAGCTTTAGGAAGGAAACATTAAAAACTCTGCATCTTCAGCTCACTACGACAGTTTCATCCTGATGTCTCTTCCATTATCCAAAAGGTAGAATTTTAATGTAATAGTCATAATATATTAGGATGAGTGAAAATACCCTAGTTTTTCCGATTCTGCTACTAGTCAAGAGTATAAGTAAAATCTGTTTGGTAGTAATGGATTTCAACATACAATTAACTCTTGGACAGGGAGGGTATAGCTCAGTGGTAGACCGTGTGCTTAGCATGCACAAGGTCCTGGGTTCAATCCTCAGTACCTCCATTAAATAGATAAACCTAATTATCTACTCCCTCCAAAAAAAAAATCAACCACACACAAACATAAAATTAACTCTTGATGAAAGGAAAGACGTTCCATGTGTTCTACTACTGACCAGGTACCAAGCTTCATGCTAGATACCCTTATACATATTATCTCATTTAATTTTATCACAGCCCTGAAAAGCAGAACAAAATAAATTATAAAGATTCAATCATAAGCCAGATTGCAACCCTAACCAACAAACCCACCTAGTCCTCTCCAGATCTGCCGGTTCCTCTTCCATCTAAGTCCCTTTCCTTCTCCCCAAGCAGTGTCAGGACAGATGCCAACACAGTGGACCAGCCAGGACACCACACAGGAGGAGACCTACAGGTCTGAAACAGCCCGCCCCCTTCTCCAAAATAGATCCCACCTGCCCCACATCCATGAAAGAGTGGCTGAGAGTTCAGAAGGGCTGAAGCAACTGCCCGAACGTCACAACTTCCTCTTTTCCTCACACTTAAATAAGGATGCTCTCCTCTTAAGAGCACAAAAATGGCATGAGGCCCTCAACACCACAGAACAGAACAGGAGGGGGAAATCACTTACTCTCCCAGTTTTGCCCAGATAGCCAGTGACACCCTGAGGATGATTTCCGAACCTTCAAAGAAGACTGAATCCCAAATCTTTAAAACTGTATGGTTAGGGAGGCACGTAGCGAAGAGAGTCAGGAACCACTGCATCGTGAAAACATTCGTAAGCGGGGGCTCATATCCACCTGAAATAAAACAAACACTGTATTTCTCCAGCACTGATGATTTGAAAGATAGGAAAACACCCTCTTTCAGTCTTCCATGTCCACCCAAACAGGTTACACCTTCTGACTGACTTCTTTACATCTCTAAATTCTGGTTCTTTCTTCCTTTCTCCTTCTTTTTTTGGAAGACCATAGGTGTGCCTAGCAAAAATCTCAGTAATATAAACTTCACAAATCCTTTATGGTATTTCAGAAAACTTAACCTAAAACTAAATTTGGCTCTAGCTGAAATTTGGGGTGCTGAAAATTAAGGAGAATGTTTTCCTTACCAAAAATAGGATAAAAAGAAAGATTTTAGCCTCTCAAAAGCAAAAGCCAATTTTCAAAACCTATTAAAGTCTACTTTTATTCCAATCTTGCTGTAAAAAATAAAATCACTCATCAGCAATTACTTGTCCACTTCTTAATTTATACATAGTCTGCAGACTACAATGGAATTACATCAGAAATCAGTAACAGAAAGAAAGCTGGAAAATTCCAAACTATTTGGAGATCAAGAGAAATGAAATTTTAAAATATTTTTAACTGAACTATACCCAGTTTTAAAGATCTGGGATCCAGGTCACTTTGAAGTTTCTGAATTCACTTAAAAAAAAACAGAATCTCCTCCCACTTCCTATGATCGCAGAAGCATATATTTTAATTTAATATAAAAATTTAGATATTTGGACTAAGCTTCCCTCCAAATTACAGTCAGAAGGTGCATTTCCCAAGTACAAACAAAAAGAGATCCGTTCTCCCGCCCTCATTTGCTTCCTTCTTACCTATGAACCAAGGAATATTGTTGTTCAGAGACTAGACCCTGAGGTCACCACTTAGGCAAGTTCAGGGTGTTTGGGGGAAATGCGGAGCCCAGCACAGTGTGTCTGACACTGGGACAGGCAAGTTTGGTCTCTTTGGAGCTTTATGAAACCCCTACTGGTGCACGTTTATACTGCATGGCCAAATTAAATAAGATTATTCAAATGATTTAAAAGGAAATGCTTAGAGACACTCAGGTGTCGCTAAAATTTCTAGTGTATTTTAATCACAGACTAGGACCTCACATTCCTGTCATATTTTCTCAGATTTGAATGCATGGGTAAGGAAACATAGCAAACTTCTGACTATTCTATTTCTGGTCTCCTGAGCACAGCCAGGGAAGTATAAGCAGTGGGTATAATGACAGCTACGAGCTCGGGTCCTCGGGAAAGCTGGATGCTGCCCGCCCGATGCTGGAGACAGAGCTACGTGCAGAGCCGTCTCCATCGCCGCCCCACTCAACCCAGGCCCTTCCCTCAGGGCTCAGATTCTACCTGGTGGTCCAGAGGAGCCCTTCGCCAGCAAGAACTGGCCCGTGCATCTCAAGTAAATTTAAATAAATTAAAGGGGCATTAAACACCTCAGTCCTGCTTTTACCTGCTGTAACTTTATGAAATTACATACTCCACTCTCCATAACCTCAGTGGTTCAGGCGAAACCACCGTTTGTGCTAAACTGTACCTGTAGCTCAGTTTTAAAGAACTCCTATAGTTTTGGTGCCAACTTAGGGCAGCTTAACTAGATGGCAAGACATGGATACCATCCTTCACCTAGAGTACAACATACAGTTGTTGATCTGGTAAAGCATTAGGTTGTCGACTGACTTCTAGTTAAGTTCAACATGTGACCCTGTGTTTTTTGTTTTTAGTTCTGTTTTGGTTCTCTAGAAATCAGTTTCACCGCCCCAAACCCTCACCAACAGAACTAACTGAAAACACGTATTTCCAGTCAAGGCTCAGGCTCACACGTACAGTGGGGTCGGAGAAGTAAACTGCTTTCAAAGGTGAAACAGTATGGAGCCCTCACTACCTCCACTCTCCTTGTTTGCCGTTTTCTGAAGAGTATCCAGGTGCTGAGACAATTCAGGGAGCTTCAGTCTCAAGAGGTCTCGGAAGACAGCCATATCCACAGACAGCGCCCGGAGATTGTTGACAAAATAGCTTTCAGGAAGTACCTTATCAATAAGGTAAATCATAATCTGAAGAAAAAGATAAAGAACAAGACCGCTTCATAAAAACCAGTATCCTGACATGTTCTCAATAGAAGGAACGTGTCCGAGTAGGCAAAATGCAATTTAGCCAAAGTGCGCTATCCTTCACGTGCGTCGGCACCAAACGTTCAGGATTCTCAAGGCTCCTCTCTACCCCCGGGGAGGAGCAGCAGCATAACTGTCTAAGTCACTCAGACCCGAAATCTGCCACTGTCTCCAATTTCTAGACGGGCCACTAGACCTGAGGTCCTCCCGCACGGTTCTGCTGGGTCACTGCTCGGACCACACACCCCTCAGCCTCACTCCGAGAAGCAGTGGAGCGCCTGCCACCTCAGCAGCCAGCAGGGAAGTCAACACGGGCTCCCGATGTCAGCACAGTTTTACAACCTTAATCTGAAAACCGGGAGCCGGCCCGTTATGAAACACCCCAACGGCCGCTGGTCTCAAGATTCACTGACCATCAACCTGGGGCATTCAGACAACTGCTGCTGGCGTCTTGTCCACTTTCCTCTCCTGGGAGAGTGCGACAAGGTGTTGTTTGAGCAGATGGTACTTTTAAAACCTGGATTTCTTTTGTGAGATTGTCTCACAAGTTCTCCAAGTGACTATTTTCATTCTGACTTTCCTATTTGTGATATTTTTTCTAAGATGTCAGAAACCATGAGAATGATCCAGCAAAACACATCTGAGTTCTATATGTCAGTCTCTGGTCCTTTCCCTATCGGCTTGCGTGCTCTGCTTATGCCCTCCTCCCTAGAAGACCCGCTCATTCCCCAGTGCACAGGAAAAGCAAAATTAAGAACAAAATCATAGCTGGCCCTGTAAGTTGG